AACACCAGAATCCAAAACCAGAAATCTTTGCGTGAGGCGAAATCGGCAAACCTAGATGCTGTGTATATATACTACAATGAATAATAAAATCAATTTATATATGTAATAATAATTTAATGTATATAATAAGTTATTGCAATAATGTATATAATAATTTAATTAAATATATCTAATACACCTTATTTATTTTGCCCTTTTAGTCTGAATATTATGATTTATCTTTTTCTGTCCTGAAATCCGTAAAATCCTAAAATTTGCACAACCTCTGGTTCCAAGCTTTGTGGATTTCTGGACTTCTACTGTAGTATCGAAATTATTTTTAAAAGGGTTACTTAAGCATATATCTTTGCTTATATTTCTCTAAACTGATACACCTCAAATTGCAGTTTAAACAAGGAAATACAAGATGAAGACAATAATAAAAAATTCAAATTAGAACATAAAACATAAAATTACACATTTCTACTTATTCTTGTAATTTTGCATGACAATCAGAACAGAAAGACCCCCATATAAAGACTCCTGAAGTTTCAGTTTCACTGGTTTCAAAATTATTTATTCTGAGATTCTATTATTTCTATTCATTCTCGGAAAATATATTAACCCTCTGGCACAGGATTTTATATTCGTCATGAAGACCGGTATTTAAACAGCATTTATTAATCGAGTTTCTAAATTGCAAATTTGAGTCTGTATTTTAATAAACATGCATTCATTAAGATGAAAGAAAGTAAGAAAGCAAAATATCTTAAATTATAAGCAAATATATGCCAAGTAGCAAAACTTCTGATGACCAAATAAAGCCACTCATAACACTCAAGAGGGTTAATGACTTCCTGTATTGTTAACAGGAAGAACGTTAGGTTGATCTTTGAATTATGGTAACTTGGCGATTTTTTGGCGAAAATTTGGCGACCAAATCTGCTACAGCAACCCCTTGTTTTTTTTTTTTTCGCCGCCATTTTGTCTTCTCTAAGTAAAGACATGTTTCTTTTCTTTTTATTTACTGAACACTTTTTCCAACAATCCGAAATCCCAACAAGCCGAATTACACTTATGCTAGAAATTTTATGTAACAAAATTGCTTAATCATGACAAATATTAACTGCAAAATTGGGAAAAAGTGCACAATCGCAAACTCCTTGTGTGTTTTTCAGAATAGCACATACACATAAACCATTTATACGTCGACTTATTTTTACTTAAAAAAAAAAATGTCCCAGAATTGCACAAAAATGGCATTGCACACACTCAACTTTATCCCTCTACACTGCTATTTTCTCATAAATTACAAAAATTTGCACGAAAATGCAAAAAAATTCTGTGAATCTTTAAACTCGGTAAAAAGGACATATATGAAATTACCTGATCGCGAAAAAGTATATACCCTTTCCAAGGATGAACATTTCCACGTATAAAATAAATAAAATATCCAAAAACTTTTACCTCTAAATTATCTATTGTATTTTAAACGTCACCAACGAATTCATACCGCAAACATTACAAATGGTTACAAATACTTAGTGTCAAATATTTAAATTATTTCGAAACATGTTTACTTCAACTGAAACGTATACCAAATTCCTACAAACAAAATTCACAAAATAACTATCATTTAATTAAAATATCACTAAACCATGTACACGTCGACTTATTTTTACTTAAAAAAAAAATCCCAGAATGCACAAAAATGGCATTGCGCACACTCTTCACTATATCCATGTACACTGCTTTTTTCTCATAAATTAGAAAAATTTCACGAAAATGCATGAAAATTTTGTGAATCTTTAAATCCGGTAAAAAGAACATATATGAAATTACATGATCGCAAAAAGTATATACCCTTTCCAAGGATGAACATTTCCACGCATAAAATAAATAAAATATCCAAAAACTTTTACCTCTAAATTATCTATTATATTATAAATGTAACCAACGAATTCATACCGCAAACATTACAAATGGTTACCAATACTTAGTGTCAAATATTTAAATTACTTCCATGCACGTTTACTTCAAACTGAAACGTATACCAAATTCCTAAAAACATAAAATTCACAAAATAACTATCATTAATTAAAATATCACTAAAACCATGTACACACGTCGACTTATTTTACTACTTAAAAAAACATCCAGAATTGCACAAAAATGGCATTGCGCACACTCTTAACTATATCCATGTACACTGCTTTTTTCTCATAAATTAGAAAAATTTCACGAAAATGCATGAAAATACTCAACGTATTCCAAAATACTACAAACATATAACTCACAAAATCACGATCATTAAATTAAAATATAATTAAATTCAAAAACACTACTTAAAATATAAATGAGCACATACATTAAATTAATAAAAATTACCTTATAATCCTAATTCTACTTTAAACTAAATCATTGCTAATAACAATTTTCCAATATATCATATTAATTTAACGTTACACTCCTTACAATTTAGAACAATGCATAAAAATAATATCCTTAAATGATTAAAAATACTAACTTACCTAATCTTCAGAATCTTTATTACGTGGCACGCACACTTCCACTATTTCATACAACACACAATGAAGCTTAATGCAAAATAATATAGTACTACAGTTTTCCAAATTTCGCCCCTTTTTCCGATTAAAGAACTATAATTCGTCCATTAATGTCACATGACATATCTCATGATCTCTCATTTCCCTCACACAAAATAATGCGTAATCAGAACTGAGTACTTCTCACATTATAACCAAAGTCCTAGGTAGTAACCTTAACCGCCTCCAAAATGTCGCCAAACTACCAGTTACCATATTCCAAAGATCAGCCAAACGTTATTATTCCCAACCTTAACATTTAAACTTGAAATATTGTCATTACATGGGATGAAGTTTAATTTTGATAGGATGGAGGTTGATGGTAGTTTGAAGCAGGATACTGTGAATTTGGATCTAAACGATGACGGCTGAACATTTCTCTAGACCAGATAACGTAAATAAGACCTAGGATAGAATAGTCTTGCAGCACGACACCTGAGATAGCTAAAATAGGGACGAGGATTTTGCCTAGGAACAGAAAACCAGGCCATATTACTGCCGCTTTGTGGGTTTTCAGATGAGCTTGAAGTTGGAAATCATTTTCTAGCTAAGTAAATCCAATTTTGAAGTGAAGTTATGAATTGAACAGATAACAATATATAGTGTCATGTCTCAAAATATATAATGATTTTTTGGTACTCTTCTGTTATCGGAACTGGATTCAGAAAGTATGCAACATATGCATGAACACATCCATCCCTACATGCACACATACATTTCTGAATCTGATCATAATAACAGAACAGCACCCTTTTTTCGGATAATATGACCACAGGTATAATTTGTCAATCATTTATGTTTAAGTGTACTTGTAACTTTTCTACTTATAGATTCTAGTCTTCAAGCAAATGTCAGGATATAATTTTAAAAGTACAAGTATTCTAATTAGTGTAAATTAGAAACTCTCGATCCATATTCAAATATACAACCACTATTATTTATGTTCAATAAAAGTAACTAAATATTTAGATCTTTATATTCTATTCTTGCATGTAAGACATACTCAGTTGAACCTCACTGAAGCACAGCTACTTCTTTGTCTTTAAGTGAAATTGTTATTCCAGCCAGAATCCAGATTTGCAGCAAAATCCCATATCAGACAAGCTTTGGTACTTCCTTGTTTTACTCAACTGTAATCTGACAAAATAGTCTGTTATTATTGCAACATTTCATTTTTAACAGTTAATAAAATTGATTGTGATATTAGATACTGAATGCATGTCTCTCATTCCCTTAGAAGAGTGAAATACTACAAAACATGGAACAACTAGAAAGAAAACCTTGATGTCAAAATATGGTCCCTTCAGAAACAAATTATTATAGGCTGGGCAGGAAGCTTCAACCAGTCATCTTATCAAAAAGGCTTATGAATTAAAAATGAAAATAAGAAAGTAATTTTATTTCATTATCAAGAATACCGATTTAAATACTTATCTTTCTTTTATCCTTGATACCAGGTCTTGTTGCTGTTAATTTAATAACCTTCCATTTGTTTCATTATTGATTTTGATTATTCATTATTGATTTCATTTGATTTTGATGAAAATACTGTTCTTAATTTTTATTCATTTTTATTCATTTACTCACTTTCCATTTGTTTTACTTAATTTTTATTTGTTTAACATTAATTTACCAATACTTTTACTTCTCTCTCTAAATATTATTTAATTTTAATTCTAAATAATGTTTTGTTTTATTTATTTTTGTTCACCACTCTAGTTGGCCTTTCTCCTGGCCCCGCATTTCCAATTTTAGAAATTAAGCCCTTATTGTAATGACAATAAACTTTCCTTGATTTTTCTGTAATGACCACAATTAAATCTATGAACCACCAGGCAACAATTTAACTTTTACTTATGCTCAAGTTGATATGCAATACTTAGTCAATACAGTATTGCAAAATAATGGATAATAAATATTTAGAAGTTCATGAATAATGAATGAAGTATAATACTGCCCATTTAAATTTTGTGACTTCCCCCCCCCTTTTTTTTTCTTAAGAATGAAGGAAAATTTAGTTAGAGATTGAGTATTACTGCATTTTAAGCCAACTATTATTGGATCATGAAATTTAATTCATTTCTTGATATAATCTTATAATTTTTAAGATATCTTGGGATCAAATTTGATTTTATCAGCCAAAATTTTAATTTCCTATAAAACACATAAGTATTATATTTTCATTTCTCAGCGGTAAATGAGATTTATGATTTAATTAAAGAGTCTTAATAACTAGTTACACAATGTACAAATAAGTTGAAATTTCAATTTTAATAGAAATTTACATGTAATTCAAAGTCGGTTTCGGTCAATAAAACTTCAAAAAGGCATTATTTTAATAGAAATAACACTTAATATGATTAGGATATGATTCACTACAGAGCTACTAACACTACAGTAATATGCAGCAAATACCTGTCATAGTGAAAAAACGGCTTGAAGTATAAATAGAATTAGATAAAGGCTTGCAAAAAATGTAGGAAACGCTCATTTAAATAAAAAATTTCATGTGCCGTTTCAAAAAGTACAGCAAGGTGAAAATATTTCATTCAATTTCAAAAGTCAATAAAATTATTCATACAACAAAAATAAAGCTGACAGCAATTAATCCCACAAATCGTAAACACTGAAATCATTAGACAATAGCAAAGCTTCCATGCCAGATGCAAAATTCCTTATGGCTGAAAATTGCAAGAAACTCACCATCTTCACCAGAAATGAAGAAAAGCATAAATCATTCATATGATCATTCATATACGTCAAGGATCACTAAACAATACCGCCACGACTTTTTCTCTAAAACGGAAACAAGAAAAATTCATATACAACAATTCTTGCCAGATTCGTCAATGGTACGTTATGACGTCACACAGATATTGAGGAAGATTTAAAAAAATATTATATATATATATATCACTACATTAAAACCAGATCGCTGGCTAAAATATAACTTCAGCAAATCCAGAAATTATTCCGTAACACTTGAATATATTTCGATAACTGAATCCATACGTCAATTATCTAATCATCCTATAAAAATTCCAAAATTAGCATTGATAACTCTTGCTGTAGTCTGGAATGATGATTTCATCTGCAAAACACTTTAAAATTATTTACCAGTAACTTTTAAAATTTCTCCAAATTTCTGAAATTGCAAATTTCTCGACAGTGATTTATAAACTATTATACATGAAATACAAAACTTCTTGGACAGTTTTTGAGTGGCTTTCTTTTCAGTTTTCTGCTGTTTAAAAAAAAGGGGGGATCTTTTTCTTTATAATTACCCTGATATTCTACGCTCTTATTTATTTACGTTAGCAAGACTTTATTTTTCTAAACCTGGAAATTGAATTGAAAGAGGAAGTTAAATCACTTACCCGTAAAAACTATGAGAAAATAGCAGTTTCTTGCGATATTCTTTACAGGAAGGACGGAAGAATGGACAGTTATAAAGTCCCTTCTTCGTACCTAAGCTCGTCTGAACAACTCAGGTAGTGTAAAATTATGTAACGATAAAATTACCGTATCTTCAAAAAGCATTTTCTTCCGTGGCTTAATCATAAGAAATATAAGGCGTGATGAAGCACAATGCAATAAATCTGGGCAGCCAGCGGTTATATAAAGTTCCTCATATTTTTATAATCAGATCGGTTGCGTGAGGTTCTTGTGTACAGAAACAAAAGAAGCTAACACCCTAAAGCCCAATTCACCGACAACTACATAATTCTAAATATTCTATATATATATATATATATATATATATATATATATTTTTTTTTTTTTTTGGTTACAGGAACTAGATTACATGCTGGTCTAAATAGCATTGTCCAAACAGAACATTCTGTAATCCCAGAATGCCCTTTGCAATTTTTGAAAGAAACCAAGTTCAGGCAAGTGCTGTCTTTTGTTGGGGAGAGAGGGAACAATTTCCTACAGCATCCCCCTCCCAAAGTACCGAAGGCACAAAGAATTCGAGATACAAAGTTGAATCGAACCCTCCATCCGGAGCGGGTGACTATTGGTGCTTTAGTACTCTTCGAGCTTTCAGCTGGCTTAGAGTCGAAAGCAGGCGGAAGCTAGGTTGATGCATTTGAGACTGGTGGAACAGTTCCAGATGGACAGTCATCAACCAGGAAGAAGACATTTAAAACTGATTGCAGACGTTCGATTGTGGGTGGAATAGTTGACATGCTTTGCTGTTCGAAAAGCAGGGGTCGTCGTAAGGTGCCTGGAGTGGCTTTCGGATGCCATTTCTATGAAGGAAGACATGGGTCCAGGTTTGAAGGTACGAATGGATATATGATGTTAATACATCATGTGGTGTTGACAGTTTAGGTGATAACCTTTTCATCGCTTTGCGTAATTGACTGAGAAATTCTGATGGTTCAACCTTCCTGGTTGCCACAGGGTCTAAGAAATAAGTGGGAAGTGTAAGAGGAGAGCGCCATACACCAGTTCTGCCATCGTACATTGAAGAAAGGACTTGAAGGCCGACATAAGTCCACAGGTAAAGATTCCATCCATCGAGGGCTGCTGTGGCATTTAAGGGACTGTTTAAGAGAGCGATGGAAGCGCTCGACAAGTCTGTTACTAGCAGGATGATATGGAGACGAGTGGGTGCTCTTTGTTCCAAGTAGAAACGTCAGCAAAAGAAGCGCTGATTCAAACTGCCGTTTTTAGTCCGTGGTCATGATAGAAGGTACTCCGAAATAGGAAATCTAACATTCGATAAACGTAGGAGCAACAGATTGGTCAGAAATGTCAATGCGATGTTGCTAGTTATAATGATGTTAAATAATGTAACAGCAAAATAATTAAAATTTAATTACATTCTTTGAAACCTTGTTTTTAATGCCTGTTAAAATAGTATTTCCAAATGCACACACACACACACACACACAAAAAAAAAAAAAAAAAAAAAAAAAAAAATTCACAATTTCACATTTTACTCTTTTAATGAAACAGAAATTCCATTATAATTCTTCTTTCTATATATTGAATTTATTACATAAAAAATTTTTAAGAACTGCTAAATAATTTATAGCGTAATAAAAATTATTCAGTGTACATTATGCAAATTAACATACAATTTATACTTCTCGCAATTTTTTTTTGAATTAGGAGATGTAGTATGGCTAACATTCCCTTTCACCTTTATCAGGTTTATTCAAAGTTTAAATATAATATTCTGAATTATATTACATAGGGCTTAAAATCAGCCGGACACTAAAATAAAATATGTTCAATTGTTTTATTATTTGCCATTAATTTTTTATTCATATTGTTTATTATTTCCTGAATTTTATATAAATTGAAAATAATGGGAAAGTTATTATCTTCTTTGTGGCACATTATTGTGTGGGCATTTACCTGTTCGGGTATTTGTTGCGCGGCAATTATCATTGTTCTTTGTGGGGGGGAGGAGGCTTTTATCCAGTCACCATTTATCACTACTTTATCTGTTTACATAGGAGTAGCTGCTAATTTCAATAATTTTTTTAAGAAAAATAAATGGTGTAATGAAATATACATAATCCTAATTCAAACTACGCTTTTCACGTCGAAAAATAGCAGTGCTTACAGGAATTACTACAAACCTGCAAACAGTTGAATATTCTAAAAAGATTATCTGAGAAGAATAAAAAATTATATAACTGTCATACAATTAGAGTAAAAAGAGTTGTATTCTTTTAGAAAAGTAGTTGAACTGCGGTGCTTAACCACCAGGGTGCCTGGGCGCCATAGCCCTACCCCTCATCGAATAACATGATAAGTTTCGAATTATGAGAAATATAACTGAATGTGCTAAATAATTAAATGAGCAAGAGTTAAATTCATAATGCTAATAGTTAAATACAAATTTTTCCTTAGTACCTAATTACTAATCCATAATTTTTTCTTTTAGAAGAATTGGAGAAAAAAAAAAAAAAAACTGTATTCTTTAGAACAGAAATTTTCCGTAGGAAATTTACACAGAGTTTAAAAATTAGGATCCTAATTTAATATTTGGGATAAAAGTTTAATTATGAAATCACCAGATGTTTTTATAAATTATAAAAGAAGGTAAGAGGAAGAGCAGCTATAATTTATTTGCAAAAGCAATTCTTAAAAGTTCAGAAACGAAACATTTTCACTGTTATCTTTTTTAATTACTTTAACCTTGAAGATACTCCTTTATATAGTTTGAGAGCTAGAAGAGGCTAAATAATTTAATTTAAGAGTAAATTATTTTTATTACTATAAATTAATTTATTTTGTCCTTTGTTAATAATGTCTTTCATGTTTTAATATCACAACAGTCTTAGTCATAACATAAACTATTATATAAACATAACATAAACTGTTATGATTAGTTTATGTTATGAAGACATAACAATCTTCATAACATAAACTAATCATAACAGTCTTATTTATAACTAAATAATAACATAATTAGTCTTAGTCATATACCATTAAAAATAGCTTTTGAGGAACTTCACAATATTTTTGGTTTTTAACACTATGGGGGAAAATAAATAATAATAAATGAATAAAATTTACTGATTTACCATCAAAACATAAATAGCTAACACTTAATCAGAAGGCAGAAAAGCATATTTTCGACTTAATAAAATACATAAACAGACATAATTTTGAGACTTCAAAAATCACACTAAACTATTCTATTATAACAACAATCATAAATACATTTAATATTGATAAAAGTCATGGGTGCTTTGGATTTTATGCACATTTGCTTATATCTAACTAGAAAGCCCGGCAGTCATACGAAATAACCGCTGTTCTAGATATTATAAATTGTAATTAAAATGATTTGTGCTAATTCAAACTGAATTACCCAGGGCAGGCGGCGAGGACGCCCCTTTGCTTACTGCCCCACAGTGCTTAAAGTAGAGTAGTTACTGCCCCTTTTACTTGCTTAAAGTAGAGTGCAATGAAGGAAACTACTGGCAGTGCATTTCTTAAAAGCCACTGCTAGCTCAATAAATAAAGGTGATTTAAATAATAAAATATTAATTCACATGTCAAAGATCTCTTTGTAGACAATATTTCTTGTGTAGATCTTTCCATCATTTTTAAGCTCGCTTTGCAGAGGACCATCCATTATTTTTAATTTTACATCTGTTCTTTCACAAACTTTTCAACAGGCAACAAAAAGTTGACCATGTCCAAATGCAGGCTCAGGTAAAAAAAAAAATGCCAACACGCTTAAGCGTTTGACCCATATTTTCCTATGAATTACTTTAGTGCATGGCTCTCAAAATATTGATCACTCTTTGTGGCCGTAACATTTTTTAAAACCGATTTAACTTTTGAACTATTTCTGTTGAAATATGAAACTATTTTCACTTCATGTTACATCTATATCAAATCATATTAAGGCTTTCACCCAAAGCATTCATGTATATTCCTCTTGCTTCCTATACTTAACTGAATTTCTTATTTTCCAATTTAGGAAGCAGAGATTAGTTTACGATTTCTGTTTTTAACGCATGGTAGTTTTGTTTCACATGTTATCAGATATGATTTAGTCATATCTAATTGATATATTAGTGACACCCCAAAACTGCTGAAGTTAATGGTAATTACTTTTCCATTTTATGCCAATTTTAACTTGCCAAAGTTTTTCTTTGTAAACAAACTTACCAAAAGTATATTTCATAAAATGGAGAAAATATGTCATTCAGAATAT